AATAGGGGTCAGATTAGCGTGTAGCGGTGCTGTGTGGCTCATCGCTGCGGTGGTGGAGCGCTTTTGTCTCCGGTGGTAATCCACTTGCTCTCAATGCCCCAAACCCTGGTATACAGTTTCAAAATAACGCTGGATTATCACCACTTTTGAGAGTGAAAAATGCCGGTAATGCCCAGCAGCCTGGTCTTTTATTTGGAGTACGGTCTTTTGTTACAGGGCCCTGTTTCCTTTGTCCAAGTTCGGAGTCCCCTGCCACGCATATAAACCATACGGCTCCGATTTCGGAGTCCCCGGCTGGTAGTGGTTAAAAATTCATGCATGCCTTTATAGGTGCTACATTTATTGTCCAGAGTGTTGGAGATTAGGGCTTATCAGCATACAAGGAAGTGAAATCATTGAAGGGTTTGAGGCTGCTGCATTTCCTATGTGACAGCAGTTTTCTAGTTTGTCATCCATTTATCTTATTAAGGGCATGTAAATTTCTACTCAGGTGGTCGCGTCGTGAGGAGGCAGACTTTTATCGTGTCCTTGCCACCTTTGGGGTAGAACAAGACCCTAAGACAGGCGAGTTTGATTGGTCTAACTTCCGAAAGCTAGCTAAGCTGGAGAGGAAATATGACCATCGATTGCTTGAGTACTATCAGCATTTCCGAGCCATGTGCCTTCGTAAATGCAAGAGGGAGGACGAGATATCAGAGGAGTTTGGTATGTTCCACAACCTCTCAGAATAAATGAGTATTAATTGAGGTACCTAAAATGCTATTAGACCAGTGTAAAACTTGTCTTTATTTTGTATCGTTAAGATGGAGTTTTCAGTGGATGTCAGGCAAAATCAAATTTGTTAAATGTGGTTTACATTTATCTGTGATTTGTACTGTAACAACTTTAGAAACATAAAGTGATGTATGCTTCTACTGGGGCTGTTTTAAACACAGGGTAAGATTTGGGCTGGTTTCCTCACTGGGAGATCAGTATTTGTTCCTTAGTCACTTAAACGCAGTGAAAAAAATTCATCTTTCATATCAGTTTAACACTTGCTTGGTGTGAATGCCTCATACTACAGTAGTGGGTATGTACACATTTCAAGGAATGCTTAGAGAATCCTCTCATGTGTGAAGGTGGTATCCTCCAATCCACTCCACTCGGGTTCATTGTTGATAAGGCATTGTGTCTTTCATAGTATTGGTGTGCCTGGCCAACTGGCTAAAAGTACTTCAAAAGAGGAAGGGTTTAAGATATCTTGTGTGTCACAAACCATGTGTGCAAACAACCTTTGGCATTTGGAAGCATTCAACATTCAAATGCTTCCAAATGTGTAAGGGCCACCTCATTAAACACCATGACCCTAACTACAGTTGTCTGATCTCTACCCAAACAGCCTCTCTTCCTCTGCCAGACTTCACCATTGAAGAAATTTCAGAAGAGCGTGCCAACAAGGTGCTTCATCGCATTGACTTGCTACTCAAGATCCGTAATGAGGTTCTTCCCCATCCAGAGTTAACTGCGCGTATGCGTCATTGCAGGAAGAGTCTAGAGCTACCAGACTGGTGGGAGGTGGGAATACATGACCGAGATTTGGTGATTGGTGTGGCAAGGTATGTGGCTGTGGAATAAGATTTCTGACCTATTCTAGTTTTCCCTGATCCATTTTAACAACAGACGGTCTGGATAAAATGGGATGATTTGAGATTAATTGGTTTTGATTTAGTTTGGGAGGGATAGTTTCGGTCAGTAGACTTTGATGTCATATGTTTTTGTTAAGCCTTGATGGTACGGATACATAATTCCTATTTTGGTATGTTCTATTTGAAAAATATTAAAGATGCTTTTGTAATGTTTCAAGTTACATGTTTCCTTGATACTTTTTCACCCAGTTTGAACAATTACCTCAGTAATACAAAGAAGCATATCCCAAAACATCATTGTGGAGAAGTTGTTCAATGAGGAAAAAATTGTCCCTCTAAAACCAGTAGCATTTTGCCTGACACTATTGGACTTTGCTGTGAGTACCAACCAATATCTGAGAACAACTTCAATTGGAAAGATAAGGCAACAAACTAGAATGGGTTGACAATAAAGAATATCCTTTAGAAAAGTAATTAACAAGACCCGAGTTTAACACCTGGTCAAAGTTGTAGATGATTTTGCCTCTTATGTGTGTATCAGCTTATAACATTTGATGAAATTTTAATGAAGTTTTATTCATGGAATTAAAAGGATATAACTTTGTGATGTTTGCCCACAGGTATGGCATTAACCGCATGGAATCCCAACAACAAATGCTGGCAGATCCTGACCTCTCTTTCAAGGATCTCAAAGATAAATACCCTCTCATGATCCCTGTGCCTGTCCCCCTACCAGCTACTGTCAAAACTCCTGCAGAACCCTCCCAAAAGGGAAGCAACAGAACTAGTAATGCCAGTCCCAGACCAGAAGATGATATGTTAAGAACTAGTAGGGAAGCACTTCCTAAGACCCAAGGGGAGAAGGAAAATGCCACTTCTGAAATGATAGAAGATTCAGAATATATATCAAATTCTCAGGATGCTGAGAAGGAGACTGAGGCAGTACAGCAAGCCAAGCAGGTAGAATCAGATGAATCAGGTATTGAGGATGGTGGAAATGATGAAACCAACATAATGAATAGCCAAGTGAAAGTCACTGTGTCAAAGGATGACAACGTCTTCCCATCAACACAGAAGTCAGGAACTGCATTGCTTGGGGATGTTTCACTGAATGATGAAGGGAAAATATCCAAAGATTATAGTGACATAAGTACTAAGAGTGAGGATGACAAAGCAAGAGATGAACCTGACTGTGCAACTGACAAAATTACTGACAATTCCAACACGGACAGCCCAGAAAATGAAGAAAGAAATAGTCTCCTCAACAGAAGTCAAAGCACAGAACCCAAATGTACAGACTTAATCCAGGATATGGAATATGGTAGTCCAAGGTCATTAACAGCTGGTGACGAGTGTAGCCAACGTCAGACATCAGAAGTCACCAGTGCATCAACAAATATGACATATGCATTCCTCATGAAATGGCCCAAGGTAGGATCAGTAGGAATCATGATGTGTTTTTGAAGCCAAAAGTTGTACACAAAATATGTATCTGTCATAATCAAATCTCAACCTGTTATTAGCTAGTAAAATGGTTTTCTAGGGCTATACTGAGAAGTATGGACGTCCAGAGGTCAATTGCAACATTGATTCTCATTTAATTAAACAAACTCAATATGGAATATAAGTTTTCAAAGAAACTTTGAAAATTAGTGAGAGCCTACATGTAATGACAGGTTGTACATTGTTTTATCAGTTCATAGAATGGCTATGGCAAAGGAAGTGTGTTACCACATTTCTTCATTAAATGTAAACTTGAAAACAAATCCTGATTTTGTCTAGGACCGAGTTATTGTGCACCGTCTGGAAAATATCTGCCACTGTGTGTTGAAGAACTGCTGGCCAGGGCGGCGACAAAATCACCACAATCAAGAGGCTAAAGCCCAGCTTGCTGCTGTCAGTAAACATCAGTATGACTTAGACCATAAGGACCTAATGCAACCAGGAAATGAGCATCTGTGGGATCCTTCAGCAGTACCTCCAGAGCACAACTATGCTGGCATGGCAGATGGTTTGTTGGCACTGGTACATCAGAGAAAACGTAGAAGAAAGCGCAAATTGGAGCCAGGTATTAAAAATGGTCTTTCATTAGTGGAACTATTTTCCAATTGGTAAGCTCAGGTTGAAATAAAACTATACCGCCAGAACAAATTGTGGCTGCACCCAGATCAGACAAATGAGCACATTTGCTGTTTGAATCTCTTAACCCCTTCCTGCCGGGAATTGAGATCCTCAGCCCGCTTTTCAACTATTATTCTCAGCCCACGCTCGAGTGAACACGGTGAAAGAAGGCAGACCCTGGCTCTTGTATATATGGTAATTGGTGTTTGTGTGTAGCCCAGAAATGAAAAGACCGAATTTGCATCATAATCACCAGCTCCACAATAGTCCCCACTTTGAAAAGAGGCAACGGGAATGTGGAAGGGTGAGTAGAGCCGCATGCCACAGAACAATCAGCCTTTTCACCGTGTAATTCAAAACGTGCAGAGCACGTAGGGCCACAAACCGAGAATTTGCAGTTTGGCAGGTGGCCTTCGTGGCCAAGCGAGGCTGGAATTCTTGGAGTCGGCTTTCAGAAAGAAATTCTCGTTGTCAAGGGGTTAACTCTTATCCTACTTGATACCTTCAAATCCACCAAGATGTTCAGGATTGTCAAAGTTTGAGTCTAGTCACTGTTGCTTTACATTGGTAATATTCTTTTAAGAATTCCCCATCAGCTACCTGGACAGAGAAGGATTTTGTAAGATAAAGGATTGTTCTTTTCAAAATATTTCTATATCGGGATAAAATAATTACATTTTCTATTAGATGTATTCTCCAAGCTACCAACACCAATTTACCTCTTCCAATAAAAGGAACATTATTAGAACAACTGCTGTGAGTTAATCAGGCCCAATATTAAGACTAATGTGTCTTTCATTTCCTACAGAAACCGAGCTGCCTTCAGTGGCAGACAAGTCAGCATCCGAGTCACCCCTGGATCTTTCCCAGGGATCATCTCGCTGCCATGTCCAAGATGCTGAGTTAGGGAGACCAGGCTTGGAAACAGTGGACAGAGAAGGCAGCAAGTCCAGTCATAGACCAGTCAATCCCATCAGAAGACCATCCATAGAGGAAATAAGAAGAAAAAAGAAGAAGTCATACTTGAAGGTCAAGCTCAAGGCGATGCACAGTGTACAAATGATGAAATCGGAGGTTAGTTCTTCAGTGCAAACAAAAAAGAAGAAATCTTTGCTGAATGAAAAAATGTTGGTGTATCTTGGACAGTCAGTGGATGATGTAACATGATGTACTTTACTTGGAGGGGTGGGTACTAATTTTTTTTACTTTTGAACAGTCAATTCTGACCAAGCAGTTGCAAAAAAGTTACAATGGGATTGCGGATAGTATTGTAGCTGTAGGAATTTCTTATTGTGTTTTGGGCATACTGCAGAAGATTTACATTCTGTTTTGATTGATCTTCTAAAAAGCTGTCTGTTGATACACAATTAGGAACTACTCAAGAGTAGTAATGAGATTACAAAAAGAAGAAAAAGGTCAGGATCACACAAAGTTCTTGGTGACTTCGCCATTGTGTTGTTTCCTATAACTAAGAGATTCCTATTAAGATTTGTGGTGCCGTGATGTAGTATAGTGACATATTCTGTCTTCTGATCTTTTGCTTTGGCTGTCAAGGATGAACACATGCAAGCCAGTGCTGCAAAGAAGAAGAAGAAAGCGAAACGCTTGAATTTGGCCAACTTCAGCGATGGTAAGGTTTTACTCAGTAAACATGTACATGTCAAGGTTTGGAGATACACCATTTAATAGACTGAAGAAGAAGCAGAGTATCACTGATGAGAACTGGAGGTTTTAACTGATGTGTTGGTCAGTGTGCTGTGTGCTAGCACTCTCTCAAGAAGTTTTTTGCGTGTTTGTCATAGATGACCATGTGCCAGTCATCAGCCGGAAAACTGGGGATAAGCTGTCAGGGGAATCAGCTCCCCTCAAGAAGGATTTAATTGCATGGTTGGAAGCCAACCCCGACTTTGTCATTCAAAATCAGGCTCACTGGTCTTTTTCCACTCCAGAGAATCTGGCTGCAACTCTAGCAACTTCAGAGGTAGGGTTTTTGAGAGTTTAATATTTTGTCTTAATCATTGTGTTTGGGCAGACTTTGACCAAGAATAATTGAGAACTCCTAACAGGTAGCATGGCTGTTTCAACATTTTAGATGCACTTGGTAGATTCAGAAGGGTGTCTAGAAAAACCTTGAAAAGGGTTAGTGTTTTCATGTAATATGTGGTTTGTTCGCATGATTCCTGTTTCCTTTGTTGCATCTCCATATTTTTCTGTTTTTGTTATTTGTTCCAATCATCACACTAGGACTCTCAAGAAGAGATTCCAGGTAACAGTGCAGCCACCACCACCAACAATCAGATGAAAACCAAGCGACGACGGCTCAGAAATCCGGCTAAGCTGGACCTAAACAAGATCACTGAAGAAGAACGAGTAGGGATCATCGAGCAAGAGACTGGTCGCAAGCTGTCTGCCAAATTGGTGCCCATGCTGAAGAATCTTGGAGAATGGCTGGAAAAACATCCAGGGTATAATGTAGGCCCAGACTGGGCAGAGATTGTTAAGTCAAAGGTCAGTATTGGCTGAAGGTACTGGCAAATTCATGCAAATCCCTTCACGAGATACTGATACATCATTTAAAAACATCATTTATTATGTGAAAATGAACATTTGGTACGTCCTTCAACAAAATTTACTAAGGTTGTATCAGTGCTTTCCAACACCCGCAGGAAAAAATTGGTTGTATTGGACTCAACCCCACAGCCTCCTGCTTCTTTGAGTGGACATTTTTAACCTCTCAGTCCATGAGCTTGTGAAAGTTTGCTTGTTACGTATTCTGTATAACAGCAGGTACCACTTTTATTTTGAATATTTTTCTAATGTAGGGAAATTTGCCGCCTGAACTGCATAGCCGGATTATGCTGTCACCTGCTAAATCAACTTCACCTCTGATTCAACCTGCCTTGTATCCAGCAGTTCTTCCAACTAGTCAAGCTTACCCATCAAACCACCTCACTACCTCCACAGACCTCAGTAGCAAAGTCTCCATGCAAATTGGCACTGGTACCCTCGGGGGGCTGGCCTTATCTGGATATCATCATCCTTTAGGATTAGGGGCCCTGCCAATAGGGGTTGCTCCTATAGCAAGCTTGGCTGGCCTGGAACCTCCAGTTCAATCCAAGGGAAATGCCAAGGAGAAGGCAAGAAAACGCAAGAGCACATCACCACGGAAAATTCTATCTGCTGACCAGCCAGTGATGTCTGTAAGTACCCCTGGAACTCTTGCTGGGATATCTCCATTCCTTCTCCCAAGCACAGCAGGAATGTACTACTCCCCATTCTTAGCTACCCAAGGACTAGTTCCCACCAGCATACCCCTGGACGTGACCGACATGAATGGGGCAAAGCAGAAGCAAGTTTCCAGTCCTAGACAGGCAGATGCTAGTGATGATGAAGCTGAAGAAAATGAGATAGGGAGTGAGCATGATACAGACCAAGCAGAAAAAGTTAAAGAGAACAAATAAGGCATGTCTCTTGATAAGGAACTTATACTGTAATGATGCAAGTGGATAATTGGGATAGGGGAATTCCGAGACCACTGTGAGCCCTTTACATTGGCTTGTCATGCTTAGAGCAACTTGCCTTCACAATATATCAAGATGCAAAGAGGTACAGTGAGAAACTTGCACTGCTTTGTCATTAGTGCATTTTACATAGCTTGAAAAGTTAAAGATGCAGCAGGTTATGTAGGTGAGAGCTGTGTGTTCTGAACCATGGTGGTCACAAAATTCCTCCCTTCATTTGCAGCTGCCTTGGCAGTGACTTCCGAAAATTACTGTTAATGCTGCACTTGGCCATACAAATATCATGACAGCATTGTGGTCAATTGTGCACATCGACGCAGAAAGTCTGTCTTTTCTAAGTATTTATTTCTGTGAATTTACAGGAAAATAAGAACATAAGCTTGTTAAAATAAATTAGGTCTATTTATTTGTACAGTCAGACTGTTACCTGATGTTGCATTTCATTAAAGTTGCAACTTGCAGGGTGTTAACAAGCGAGAACCACTGAACAAGCTCTGGGTTTGGGGGGTGGTTATGTTTTTTGAGTTACTGAATGTATGCTGTGGTCTAATGATGAACCACCTGACTTGTCCTTTTTGTAGATACTGTACACTTGCAATGTAAAATGTTTTAAGACTTTGGGGAAAATATTAATAATTTTTTGTTGTGTTAAATGAATACAGTACATTAAAAAGGAAAGAAAATTTGGGTATATTGAAAGATTAAAGTTGTGATAACCAAATGAGTGGGTTTTTTTTGCTCTGTTCATGGTGGTTTTAATTTACTTCTCCTTGGACTCGACAGTGGCGATTCACATTTCATTGTCCCTGGAAAAGGGTTTTTAATAAAATATTTCTCAAGCAGAGCTTTAGGAACCAATACTAGGCAATTTGCCAAAGAAATTTGAAGGTTTGTTGTGCTCTTAGGAGAGCCAATTTGAATAATCTGAAAAATAAATCGTGATTAATTTGAGGGATCCACATTTGTTAAACTTGTTAAAATCAGTGGACTAAATGAGAAGTCACACTTCCCCGATTTCAGTTGATAACCATGTGGAAAATACATTTCTTGCAGGATGACTTTTGTATGCACTAAATGTAGCAGTGCAAAACTGTCCTGTGTATTGGTTTATTTGAAAAAAAGTTGTCGGGCATTTGGTTCGATTTGGATGAAATCAGAATTAATAGCCCAGCAAATGGTAGAACATTTCACACAATCATGAGCAATTAAAGTTTCTCTTCAGATATTTTGAGTTTATTTTTTGTCTATATGTAGCAAGATTAGTTGCCCTAAAATAACCAACACCAACATTAAAGTAAATCACATGACTACATTTACCTACAGATTTCTTGTCCTATTGAGGCTCCAAAGATTTAAAACATTGAATCACCTTTTCAGAGTATAGAAATTGGCAGAACCATCTGCTTTTCTATCAGCAGACCACTTTTAGTCATACCCTCCCACAGAACTTCCGTAGTCGTCACTGTTGTATCAGTACAAGGGCATGAGAACATGGAAGGCTATGTACATATAGTTTATAAATTTCCTTCCATTCTGACCACCAAAAAGCAGTCCATGCACAAGCAAAAGTGAAGTTACAATACATGTGAAATTCACCCAACAGCACAGAATACTAATCCATTCTATTTATGACTGCAGGGGAAAAAGAAGCATACATGAACATCAAAGGCAAATAATACAACTTTATTACAGGAGTATTCTCAAATCTTATCCCTCACTGATTTAATAAAGCATTTAAATTATCCAAGGCTGAGTTTAGGAAGTTCTCATCTAGCCCAACTAGTCAAATTTCAAAATACTTTCTACTGGTACTTGTTAATTCAGTGGTGGTTTCCTCACAAGTCACATACATGTGAAGATGTGGTCAAGTCTGTTACAAATCTGGTCACAAGTAACTGGGAAAAAGAATACTTCCTTCACCTTTTTCAATAGGTAGAGACTCGGCTTCGAGTGGAGGTTTTGTGACTGACTTTCGACAAATTCATTTCAATAATCAGATTCCCCCCCCAAGAAAGTTTCACAAATGAAAGAACCAGAACCGAAACTATTTTCAAAATTTACACAGGTTCAGGGAACATGACCCCCAAGCAGTCCAGATACCTCCACCTGGTATGCAATGGGTGAATTTATTTACGTACATGTAAAGTACAGCTTATTGTGAGGTTCAACTGATGGATCCAATCGTCTGCTGGGACTGGATTGCTACAGTGGTTGAAATATGCTTTTTTAACACAAAAAGCTTCCAGGACTAATTGTGTAATGTGCACCTAAAACTCCTCCAACACTCAATCTCAAAGGATTCATGTCCCTCAAGATTTTGACATGTTCTTCAAACCAATATTGTAAATGTTCATCAAATTATGTTCAGGTAATAGCCAGAAGTATGGCTGAATTACTACCAATTTAAATACTGACAAAGTTTTCAGATCTTTACAAACATTAATTACAGTCTTCATGTTGTGGGTTGAGATGAAATCTCGAACGATTTATACTTGGTATAAATTTCTATGTTATCTTGCTTAGAATTTTTACAGAAAGTTTATGGCCACTAAATCAAGGCATGCAATGCCTCCAGTTTTTTCTCTGTCACTATTTTTTAAAATTAACCCTTCAATTGGTCAAATTTACAGAACGAATACTGCACGCCTGTCACAAAAGCAATTACATTCCACAGTGCACAAATGCATTTTATGTGTAACTGTATATACATATTTAGGGTGTTTCATTATAAAGGTTTTAGTTAAATGCCAAAAGGGTGCATGTGCATGTACCAATGTTTGGTGTTTGTGTGGTGCTCAGGGGACCACTTCCTTTCACAATAAAGGTAACCTGGAAACAATAATTATTCTATTTTGGTACATAAGTATCATTTCTCTTAAGTTTTCTCAAGCAAAGCAGGAGTCACTTGAATGTAAAACTAACAACTACTCTTCGTTATTTCCCACTTCAAAGCCTTTATTTTATGGTAATACAGATCCTTTAATAATATACAGATACATCCAAAGTACTAGCTGCTACTTGTAACAACTGGGTCATATCTCAGTCATGCAGGATTTTGGCCACTCAAAGCAAGACATTTCTGTGTTCCAAAGAAAATGTTATCAACATTTATTGTATATTAATAGTTCAACTGATTGGGTAAGCTGACATGTTTTTTATCTATTAAGTCATCATTCAATATAAATATTCAACACCAAAAAGCCATTCTATGGTATTTTAGGCAGTTTTTAGAAGCCGTGCTGAAGACTATTTGTAAGGTTTGCAATATAGACAAAAATTAAAGGAATGTACGGTAGGTTTAATCTGGTATCATACGGTCAGACCATGAGGGGGAATTTTGTAATGTGCGGTACAGTGCAACTGAAACTTTACCCAGAGCAAACGACTGGAACAATTGTGAAAAGAATTAACATTCACAGGTGAATTTCCCACTTGTGAAAAAAAGCTGTGAACAATTTTCCCACTCCTGTAAAAGGTGTGAAAATTTTTCCACTGGTGAAAAAAATGTGGGGAAAAAATTTCCCACTTGTGAATTTCTTTTTCACAAAGGGGAAAAAAGTGTGAAACTGCCTCCCACTGAGGGAACATTTTTCACAATTTGTGAAAATAATGATTAATATTCATTTTCCCCTTTTGAGGTAAACTTTCAATTGCAAAGTACTGTATATTGTACATCTCTATCCAGAAGGCCATTAACAGTAACTCTTCATTTTACAACATTTGAACCCTAAAAAGCCAGATTTTTCAGACCTCACAGAAAAACTCTGGTGTCCAATGCCCACGTTTTCTGAGACTTAATATGTATGTAGAAAGTTCAATCTGACACAGGATCTTTAAAGTAGCACGTTAACACTGTGATTCAAATGAGATAGGTGTCTAAAATACTATGGAATGGTCTACCACAAGACAATTTACAGACTTGATACGGCACAAGTAACACATGACATATATTTTATGTATAGGCATTCACTTTTGCTGTTCTACTTCTACATGTACATTGTAGTTTAAGACAGATTGTCTACTGTGCAGAATTGAAATGTCAAGTTACCAGATCATAAGAACACAACTCTTTCACTGTTTTTAATTTTTTTCTTCCCCTTTCCTGGACACACTTGTGACAGCAACTGTACAACAAATCCAATGAACACTGACTTAAGAGGTTAATTTTGAATATGATTATGTGATTGGACGATTACATCTACAAATCAACATTCAGAAACTGTTAATGGGATAATGATACTGCTGAAATGAGCTCCATGAATTCAGTTTAATTGGTACCAGCTGTCAGCTACACCTAGGCAATCTAGCCAGCGATTTTAACAAGATGTACAAAAAAATGTTTTCCTAGCTCTTCCAAATGTTGACAGAGCTGTTCAAATTGGTAGAATGTTAGCTTTTTCATAGGACATACATATTGCACATCAATTTGATGTGGCACAAGCACTCACAAATGAGAAGTACAGAAATTCGCAGTGATCCAAGTTTTCCAAATGCCATGCTTGTTTAGGGGTCTATTGAGTTCAAACTGGTATACGTGACAAGGAACTCAGTTTGCATAATGCACTTCACAGACATTATACTTAGCTACAAAATACTCTGTAGCATTTTGGGCTAATTCTGCAAACAATTTTCCAATCACGTTGTTCAACCTATTCCACTGCACTTTCAAACCAAATATAAATAATGCACTAACAAAGACACATTTAATTTGGAAATGGGTTGCTAGGAACAAAGCAGTGATATCTGTCAAAAAGTATTGTGTGCATGTACATGAACAAGGTCCAGAAACCCAAAGAGTATCCTCAAATGGCTCAGGCACAAAAAGGAAATATCCAAATGGTACAATCCCAAGCACTCATCCATCCCTGTCTGGGCTAACATGAATACACACCTCCAATTTCATCTACAAGTATCACAACCAGTTTTCACAAGTTTACCTTGGCACATGGGAGTCTAAAAATGAAAGGTAGAGACTAATTTGTCTCCTGCCTGATATGGCAAATTCCCTCCCTGAACAAATGACATCTTGAAGACATTTAACAGCAGCCTCCACCACTTTGTTGGCCACCCCCTTGTGATGGTAGCGTTGGGTTGGTGGGTGAATGCTGTGGGCCAAGCTTGATGCCATTGGCCTGAAAAAGAAAGTTAATTGAAAAGTAAGTGTGAGTTATAGCATAACTTACACATGAATCTCTCCACCTGCAAGGCTGTGCAGTGCCCTTAAGCAAGACATTTTATCTCCCCACTAAGAAATGAACTGAATCGTGCAAGGCTAGACATGGTTTCTTGAAGCTGTTTACTCCCTATTCTAGGTAAATGAGTCAATGCAAGAAATCTTCAGAGGTGATGGTGCAGCACTTTGATTGCTATCATTGATAAATATCTTGGCTTTAAATAAATACACAAGGGCAGACAGATTTCAGTAATAAGCATAACATGGGCACTCATCAAACATGGAAATGGTATCCACAGCAACCTGTATCGGATCATAGGCCGAATTGATTTCTCTGGTCATAAACAGTACAGAATCAATGACAAATGCCATGTTCACAGTTAAAAGATGAAATATAATAACACAATGATGCATTATCCCTTAGATCTGCATCTCAACCCCACTGTTTGCTGGGATTCAATATTCAAAAGGTATTATCAAACTTGGGGGATTTTCGGTCTTTTTCCCTTAAAAACATAGGTTACCTCATTGTTAATATCAAATACACCTTCCTGGATCTTCTGGTAAATTTCCTTAGCTGTGTTGATAAAGGCTTCTTCTACATTTGCTGCCGTCTTTGCCGATGTCTCCATAAAGATCAAGCCATGCTCCCTGGCAAAGGCTTCTCCTTCTTCCTTCTTGACATCACGGCGTGCCTCAAGATCACTGAATAAGAACATCCATTTAACAATTTCTTTTATAAAATATATTTTGACTAGAATCTTCTTGAATCCCCTAAAATCATCCACTGTGCACAAACCAATGACAACTTGTTTTTTTTTCCGACGTCAAAGTACTTGAGCTTTATCTTCTACATAATCCTACAAGCTCTGCCAATAATTCCAATGGATATTTTAATGATCTGTACCACTTGGGGTTAATCACAGGCTACTAAGATGGTTACAAAGACGACATTTTCAGAGCAAAACATTACAACTTTAGTTGTAACTGACCCATTTGCAATCATTAGGATGTGTGTTTTTCTGCAAAGGGATCTGCATATTAGAAAACTAACCCTTTCAAGAAGACAATATTCCTCTAGTCATTAACTTTAAGCACATAATATGAATAATCCTGTCTGTTTGTGCATTACTAAGTGCAAACTACATGTACCTGTACACAATTGTGTCTTATATGGGTAAAGAACACATGAATTGGATGACAGGACAAAAGTACACATTTGTGTTGTGACATGATAGGAGGGATCGTGTAATGAAAGATGCCCAAACATACAAAGCTTTAACACTTCCCTGAACAACAACAAAAGAATTAAGTAAGCATGCGGGAGGGACAGTTGACCTTGTGGGGTACACACTTTTCTAGTACTTATTAAACACCTGATTACATTACCTTTTGTTCCCAATAAGCATAATGACCATATTGGAGCTGGAATGCTGACGGGCATCTTCTAACCATGTTGTCAGGTGGTTGAATGTGTCTCTCCTATGTGAAGCATTACAAAAATACAACAGAAACAAGAACTGAATGTACAAACAACTCTACCTAAACTAAACATTGGCTGAGAGGAAATACTAACACAGAGGCATAGCACCGCTATTCTCAAGGCAACTGCAATGGACACTGC